GGTCTACCTATGATGTCAATTACAGGCCTCTCTCATCTTTTTAAGTGGGAGAACTTGCACAATTGGTGACTGACTAAATACTTATTTTCCCCACTGTATATCAATGTTCAGCACGCTCCTCTGGAGGAAGTCTGTTGCAGATTTTCTGTTCTGTTTAATGTCATTACCATTTTATTAGGCATAGTGGGATGTTTTTATTTTTAGAATTAGTAAGTATTTAATTAAAGCTAACATTCAGTCTGAAGTAATGATTTGTTTGACAGTAAAATAAACCCAAATTATGTTTTTACGTCTTCGTGTTTAACAGTCCTTTCAACTTTAATTATGAAGACATGCATTCATTAATTAAACCAATTACAAAAGATGCATCTTTTTTGTGTATTCAGATCAGTTTTATTAGTATTCGAGTATGGTAAATCTAAATATTTGTTACATTTTTATGTTTTAACCTGCAAATAAATCATTATTATTAATCTTCAGACTGCAGCAGACTTCTCAGACATAGACACCCCCAAATCTGCTTATGAGAAGACACAACCGGTGGAAGCCTGTAAGAAGCTCATTTAAGCCACTTTTTTTTCCTATTTTTGTTTGTGGCAAAGATTACAGACAAGGTTTTTAATTTTTGTGTGTTTTCTGCAGCGAGCGTAGGCGCAGGCAACCTGAAGGCTCGGTTTGAGAACATGGCCAAGGCTTCAGACGAGGAGAACAGGAAGAGGGTGGAAGAAGAGCGAGCGAGAAGACAGAGCAGAGAGAACAGAGAGCGAGAGGAGGCCAAACGCAGACAGCAGGTAACCACTGGAACATAAAAACACATCAACACAGAAGCTGTTCTCGATAAACAAACCAGGGAGGCGTTTTTGTCAAATAAGGAACAAGAAAGCAAACGGGAAGCGTTTAATCCTCCACCTGTTGAAGAAGAACCAGAGGAAACGCCAGCACCGGATACTCCCCAACACCTGCAGGAGATCCAGGAAGTACCTGAGCCAGAACCAGAAGCAGAGGTGAGAAACAAACATCTATTGTATCGGTCATGGAACAAAATGATTGTTTGAACAAAATTTAACTACTTTAAATACTTTGTTCTCATTTTTTAATAAATTGGATCAGTTTTTTTGCAACTGCACAGCTGATCAACCTTAGAAAAAAGGAAAAATGTCARTTTTACAGACTGAGCTAAAATGATTCATTTTAGCTGCAAGTCATTCCCAAAACAAAACTGAGCSCTAACTAAATGTGCATAAGCTTTATTTACAAGATTTACCTAAAGTTTCTATCATTTGAGTGTTTTTAAATTATAACCCTATGTTTTATTTGATTTTTCTCAATAGGAGGAATCGTTATACGATAACCCACCAGACTTGCCCCCACGCTYCGAGGATGTCCTGGAAGTGGACGAGCCCCCGCCTCTCCCGGATAGGTTTGAGGATGAAGTAGAAGAATTTGAAGAAATTGAAGAGCCCGATCAGTCTAAACCAGCAGGTCTGCCTCGCAGTGAAGTCCAACGGGGAAGCCTTTTTGTTTTMAAATATTAATCTGAACAGTTTCTTCACAGACGTGGAGAACGACTACGAGGACGTGTCGCAGGGTCAGAAGGCGGTGGCGATTTACGACTACCAGGGAGGTAGGACCCTTCAGTTAGTTCATCCTGGAGAACTTTGCCCCACATCAGCCGGTTTTGTTAAATTTATCGTGTTACATTTTTTTGTGCAGAGGCAGAAGATGAGATCTCGTTCAATCCAGACGACGTCATCACCGACATCGAGATGATCGACGAGGGCTGGTGGAAGGGGCGGTGTAACGGACACGTGGGTCTGTTCCCGGCTGCGTACGTCCAGCTCATTTAGAAAGCAGCCATTTCATTTTGCACTTTTTCACACGAAGGTACTCGCTTCAAGGATAAGACAAAAACTTAAACTAAATCTGCACAATATTCCTCCTGTACCGGTTTTTTTTTAAATTAAAGTATATATTTGGATGCCGGATCAAATTTAACAGCCATATTTGTTTACCTTCAGTCTCTTTACATTGTGTTTTGTTTACACCGAGTGTGTGCCCTAGCTTCAGAACTGCATTCATTATATCTAGAATAAAACTGGAGTAAATTCTTTAAAACTGCACCACGTGATTTAGTTCATAACATTTTTTAATGTTATACTTTGCAGTGAGTCCTTTTTAATCTCAGGTTTCTTACTTTTTAAAGAGAATGAATGTAGATCGGTTTGTACAACAAATCACAGCAACTGTAGTATTTTAACTGTYTCTATCTGAAGATGCATTAAACACTTTAAATGCTTATTAAAAAAAAACAAATGTTTATATGAAAAGTGTCATTATTGGCAACATTAAACAATTCAAATTTTTGAACTTATAATAAATCCAAGTAAACCAAACTATTTGTTATTAAGTTAACTTGAGCATCCTTATTACAGTACTGGATTATTAAAATGTAATCAAATGATTCAATGATGGGGGAGGAAATAAGGCAAACCTGTATAAATACAACCCACAGAACAAGAAATAATGTATCCAATTTTTTCCCCAACATTTAGTCATTTTGTGAAGTCAGGAACATTTTACACAAGTTTCCAAGACTTGCTCTGAACTCAAAAATAAAGCTGATATTCCACAAGAACCRGTATTTCTTCATAGAAATTTCATATTTAAGGTTCTGTTGCACAACCATGAATGTTACAGTCTATTGAAGAAACAGCAGAAAGCTGACAGATCTTCTGTCTTTAAAGCACAGGTGTTTGTTTTCCGTTCTACCAGGCGATGCCCTTCTTCTTCTTCACTTTGCCTGTTTTCTTYGTCACCCGTTGGGCTTTCAGTTTCTTGATCTGCCGCTGATTCATCCAGACGGGGTACTGTCCGCTTTTRTCCAAAAGGGTTTTGGGGTTTCGCTTGTTATCCAAGTCCATCTTCCCGTCTAAAAATAAACAAATAAAAGAGCAGATTTTAGCAAAGCAAGAAACACCACAAAGACATTCAACGTTCAAATAAGCATTAATCCACTCACCATCCTCCTCCTCTCCTGCCATTTCAACGTCCGTCTGCTTCTTGATCTTTTCAGCAGGCACCACCGTGGCGATGTCCTGCAAGTCTGCCATTTCAGCTTCTCCTTTCTTGTCGAGACTCAGCGCTTGTTTGAGTCGAGCCAGTTCCTTTGGAGCATTTTTCTTCCTCTTCTCCGCTTTCATTTTTCGCTTCCATTTGCTCCGGAGACTTTTAGCCATTCTGAGGATGCTATAAAAATAAGAGAAAAGGAAAAAAAATGAGGTGACTTGTTTTTAAATTCAAAACAAAGCACAGCACAGTATTGTGTAAATCTTACAAGGTTTTTAGAAGATTATTAAGTCCTTCTGGTTAAAAATTATGTTAATAAAAGGAAATGTACTGTGCTAAAGTTTAGATAACTCTTGAAAAATGTTTTTTAAACATTTTAAAGGGGTCTGGTTTTGACAATTTTAAATAACATTAAGCAGAAAACGTCAGCATTAATAACATTATAAGAACTTGACACAAACGGGCTTTTTGGTGAAACTAGTAGTAGCGATAATAAATGTTTCTAGCGTTATTAGCTAACAGCTAGCTAGCAGTTGCGTTAACTGTTTAATTTTAAAACCTTTAACTTCGTAAAATCACATCAAATCGCCTTAACTTAGCAGTATAACAYAAGTCAGGTTTGTACTGTAACTTAGAACAAGTTAAATGTTACTTACAYACGGCTAGTTTGCTTTACTTTGCTCGCTGACTACACACTGCTCACTACACGTGCGTACGACGTAGAAACTGTATCGTGATTGGCTGCTTCAGACTCACTAAAGATCATGCTGCAACCTAATTGGCTGTTTAGGACAAGCTGAAGATCGTGTGACGTGATTGGTTGGTGATCAAAATCCCGGAAGTTCCGTGTGTAAATAATGTCGCAGAGAGACAGTTAAGCAGCCAGCTCTTATTTGACTTAAAGTGGCTTATGTGTTTTTTTTCTTTAGTTGACTTAATAGTTCTTTAGGAATCATGAGCAGCTGTAATTCAAATAGTAGCTCTGTTTCAGCCTGCTGCTCTTCTCCTCCCGTATCTGAGCTGTTCAACATGCTGGACTCGGCTGCAGAGTCCATGATGGTCCACAGAGATTTCCGCACGACTTTTGACACGTGCAGCAAAGGTTTGGAAAATCTCGCGAGCGCGGACGCTGAAGACGACAGGTTTCTCAAACAAAAGTCACTTCACATCTGCACTTCAATTATGTCTATTGAGYTTAACGTCACGTTTCTGTGTTTTCTGCCTGCAGGGGTGCAGAGTTAAAAGATGCGTTCTGCATTTTAGGGATTCAGGCGCTTGCTGAGCAGAATCAGTGGCGAGATGTCCTCTCCTGGGTCCTGCAGCAGTATGAGCACCAGGAAAACATACCTGCTAAAATAATGCAGATGTGGTGAGAGAGCTCAGTTATTTACTTGCTTATTGAATGTAACGTGGGTGATTTGTGGACAGTAAAACCCTCAAATGTGTTGTTACAGTGTTATAAATAAAAGCACGCTACTTGATGTTCAAACTGATGTCAATTTCTTAAACAAATCTATATTTTTGCAGCATTCTTCTTTACTCCAAAGTGGGTGAACCTGCTGTGATGCAGGAGGCGACCAGAACTTGGTTACGCTGCTCGTTGAACTGCAAAATGTTTGGTTTCCGCACCGTGGCAGAGCTCTACCTGCTGCACGTCCTCGTGCCTCTCGAACATTTCAAAGAAGCACGGGAGCTCGTTTTAGGTGAGGTGGGCTGCACTGTGTTCACAGAGGACCAGAGACAAATCGCGCTGGATATTGTGGAAGAAAAATCACGGCAGACGGAAGAATCGTCTTTAAATCCCAGAAACACTTCAGACTCKGCAGGRYACCCTGCCTCCACTCAAGGTTTAGTATTTCTGCTCAGTTCTTTACATACATTAACATACTGTGTATATCTTATCATAGATGACAATCTGATTGTGTTCTGCAGGTTCTGTAGTACATAAACTTCAAGCTGTGCTCAGGTTTTTACACAGAAACTGCTTGATGACCGGCTCTGGCTCATGCCTTCTCCGGAGGCTCTTTCTAGCAGCTGTTCTTCTCTATATGCTTTTCCTCAAAATGGATCCAGGTTGGATGAAATGTTCCTACTTTTCCTATTTATTATGCTTTAAAGAAGCTTTATGTGTTTATTTTCTAACTGCCTTATTATTATTTTTTTTTTTGTCTTGCAGCTCACCCATCTTCATTCATGTGGATTTTCAAGCTTCTTGAGCTGATCAAGCAGATGTGGAGAGCCATGTTTGCACCGTATCATTAAGCCCCCACTTGAGACAAAAGACTGTCAAAGACACACTAAGTGTAGAAAAAGTATTAGATGGACATCTTGAAACGCACACATTTTGGTGGGATGTTTCACCATCAGATATAACTAACTTTTCCATAAGTTCACATTATAAAACTGACCAGTCTTTTAGGTTTTAACATCAGAAAACACCATAACACACAGCCGTCGAAGTAACATCATCACAGGAAGAGTTGTATGTTTATGGAGATCTTAGTTAAATTTAGTTGATTTTTCAACTTGGAGGTTCTAATGTTTGTCCATCATGTTTGTTAATGAGATGCAATTTAAATTTAAAATGATCTGTGTGTATCATAATTGAACTTTGGGATCATTATGAGCCTCTGTTTACGTTTTTTGTGAATGTGTAATTACAAATTCTTAAAGTTTATTGCTGAGAAATTGGTATAAATGTATTTTGATGACAAGAATATATATTCTGTAGTGGTTTTATTGTCTTTTTATCACCAATTTCACAGTCCTGTAAAGTCTGGGGTAAGAAAACAGTTGCTTTTTATTAGTGGTGCGTTATCAGTGGTGGTTCTAATGTGGCTGATTTATAAAAGTGGTGTGTTTAATTCGTACTGGGAAGTCAGAATTTCCAAGTTCCAGGTCGAGAAATCTTTGAGGTCGAGGTTGGTCAAGAACCTCCCGATTCTCCCTGTTGGAATTCCTGCTTTTATGTGAGCGTTCCAGTAGATATWTTTTTTTTTTCCATTGGTAGAACCTGGAGCTCGTAAGTTTCGATATCCAAGTAAAAGCGCAACTTCAATTGAGAGTTCCGACTTCCGAGGCACATTGAACGCAGCATAAGTTTCGATTCCAGCAAAGGAAGTGTAGAGAAACGAAAGTTACCCTGAAGCTGACGGAGGATGTTTACTGGAGCTCAGCTGACATCTCTTCAGCTTCACAGGAAACAGCTGGACCTCCCGGTGGTTCTGTGAAGCGGGAACACGGAGCAGAACCGTCCTGACACCCGGGTTCGAACCTGTGTTCTGCTCTTTAAAGCGACTCTGAGAAGTGATGTCTGCTGGGTCATGCAGTTATTATTCCAAACTGTGGCTCAGAAACTCACAGTTCGGTAAGTATAGGCCCAAACCATACGTGACCTCTTTGTGTTTTTAGCAATTTTTCAGAAAAAAACTTTTTAAAAGTATTTAAAATTAGCAAATATGTATGAGAGAGAGAGACTCAGCATCCTCTACAATCTTTTTTATTAGGACATTTTAACGCTATAATTAGTGAAAATGAAGTTTTTTTCAATTCTGAACAGAAATATTTTGTGTTTTTGAATTTTTAAAAGTAGCTTTTAGAATCTACTGCTTTTTAAATWTTGTGTTCAATGTCAGTATAAGTAAAATGCTAGTATAACATTTTATCTGACTTTTGCTCATATTACAATTACATCTGTCAGTGACTATATATATA